GTTGTCGCGCTGCTGATGACGTCAGCGACGCGCTTTAATCGGGCGCGCTTTAGTGGACCGCGGTTTTGTCGTGCCATGATTTAGACACCCCTGTCCTAGGATGAGAGCACGCCACCTTTTCTCAGTAGAGGACAGCTATCCCCTGCCACAATTTTTATGGGGGCTGAAACGAGGAAAGAGTGATTTTAGAACTTCCAGGAAGTTCTTATATTACTTTCTGTAGCAATTATTTTTCTTTTCTGACCTCTTTTTGCCTCCACTGTTTCCTTCTTTCTGATTCTCTTTTGCAAGAAAGCGATAAGTGTGAACTAATAGCAAAAGCTTCTGAATTTAGCTTAAGAGTCTAATGAAATAACTTGATGCCAATGAACCCAAAGGTTTCCAATTCCTGTCTGGGATCATAAATGCGTTACATAAATGCAAAATGAGATCTGGTGGGGGGAAAAAACAACCCAATTTTGTACATACTTAGTTGGCAATTGGATTCGTTGAATATAATGAGACTTGAATAAGATCTACAAAAAAATATCTTCACATCCACTCTCTATCCAAAATAGCCAATATTTTCATCCAGAATCAATTTTACAAATTTGTTCTCTATTACTTCTTTAACAGAATTCAGTTAATCCTTCAAAAACACTGGCTGTGTTCTTTGGAAGATAGATTATAGGTAAACGAAATGTTACTTATTTGTCTAATAGTAATGCAAATGACAATAGCCAAAGGACCTAAAGAAAGCAAACCGTACAAAAATAGAAATAAGGTATACCTGTGTGCAGTGATTGAGGTGATTCCCTCCTTTAGTCCAGAAAGATTGGGCACTTGACTTGGTTTTCTTGAGATTATATATTTGCAGCATATCAAATGCTGAAGTTCAACTCATAGGCAAACAGTATAGGGTTGCCCAAATCTGTTCTGGTTTAATGAATTGGGAGTCCTAAGTTTTGAGAAGTAGTTGTTGCCAATGGAGGAGAAATAAATTAATGTTCTTCTCTATTACATCTTTAGATGGAACAGAATCCACTGCTAGGATTCGGAGCGATAGCAATTGCTGTTATATGTTCAGGATTTGCAGGTAATAATAAAGCACAGAACATTAAGCATGGCGTTGGCTTCTCTGAACACTCTTGCTTCCTATTTCATGCTAGTGCTGTTGCTTAACAGTCATTGGAACTTGAATTTTCACTGCTCAGCAACCAGGTTTTAATGTGCAATGTCACATAATCACATTGCTTAGCGATGACAATCCTGGGGGGTTTCCATTGCCATTAGGGTCATTAAGTGAGGACTTCAAATGACCAGGACTTGTAACTTCTTCTTGCCAGCTTCAATATGCAACGTCAGTGGAGAAGGCAGTAGAGAAGGTCTCCCACTCCCATTGCTCTCTCCCCTAAGGAGCCATCTATGCACCCCACTGCACTCGCACTCACACCCTGTTGCAGTGCCCCCACCTGCTGGCACCTGCACTATGTGGTAGTACTCAGCCATATGTTTGGTTGTAGTCATGCATGACAGTGTCTACTGTACACTGATATATTTGTATGGTGGTGACCATCCACGTGCTTTCTATTTGTAGCATGTGGCAGTGCTCAGTTCCTGCCTGACTGCACATGTGTCACATGACAGTGATCTGCCCTGCTGCACTTGCCCCACCCCGCCCATTTGTGCTCCATAGCTCTGACCTGCCTACTGCAAGCTGCCTTAAGGAAAGTCTTGTGTTGATAGGGACTTGCGACTTCCTGCCAGCTTCACCATTGACTTCACTTGTTGGAAATTTTAGAATTTAGAATTTAATAGAATTTGTATGCCGCCCACTCCCGGAGGACTCCGGGCGGCTCACAGAAGACAAGGGAAAGGAGGGAAC